AAATTTAGACGAGCCCACGAGCCGAACGGCTCGTGGGCTCGTAGACAAGCCTCTTGTCGAGTCGCTCGTCTACAGTACGAGCAAACGGGCTCGATTTATGCTCGGGCTCGTCAAAAACTCGTGAGTTGCTACAGTACGAGCCGAGTGGGCAAGCCGACGTGCCGCTCGGCTCGATTGCCACCAAACCCATAGTCCTTTTCAATTTTATTCACATCAGACTAATTTCCAATCCCACAAGGTATAGTTCTAATTGGGGACGAAGTCAATGGGGAGGACGAGACAGAAGGGAAATGAATGAGTTGGTAGGTGAGACAGTGGCGACCGACGCAGAGCTGGAGGTTGGTAACAAGATTCTTATAGTGGCGGTTACTAGGGTGCCACTCTACGTCGAGGCTTAAGATCAAGCAATGGCTACTGTGATTCAATATCGGACAGCCAATGTGAAACCATGGAAGGGTCATGAGCTACTAAGGTCTAGGTGATGTCTCCGAAGAAATTGACGTCGTAGAGGTTGTGGGTGTCGTATAGTATGCGGTGTCCTGAATGGTGATCACCATTCATCCAACTGTGACATCATCCTTCACATGTGCACCTCTAAGGGATGAGTTCGACCACCATACCCCGGACGAACTCAATAAATGAGTCTTACACTTTATTCCAATTGAGCTTACATGAGTAGTTCGACTAACTGAATGCTCAAGAGGACTTAACTTTAATGGAGCATCAATCATTTGAGGGTAAATGATTTGCTCTCCAACCATCCGAAATAGTAAATGGGAAGGAATAAGGTGAGTTGGCAAAAAACCTACGACCTAGGTAATCATTACGCTACTGTCACCTTAATCTACGAATCAAAAATCAATGATGTAACAAGTGGCACTTGGATTGAGGTCAAACGAGTAATTGTAATTTCTTCTTTATATAAGGGGGAGGGGAATCAAAATCTCTCTTTTTAATAAACTCATAGAAGCGACGCACACTAAAAGACTATAGATGACTGGAAACGAAGATTTGCTCTAACAAAAACCCACAAACTAGGTTTGTCAGAAAATCGAACAACACACAGAGTATAAGAGCACGCAGAATCAAAGAACACACAAAATAAAAAAACACACAAAACTACAACAAACTGAAAAGGCAACCACCAAAACGTAAGAGAACCCATCCCGAAGACGCCAACTAGGAGGAAACCAACTGAAGTCGACTATGAACAGTCAATCGACTGTAGGAAACACAAGAGGCTACCACCGTGATGCTTAATATGATGAACCAACAACTGATTGTTGCCCAAAAAAATGAATAAATAAATTGTAGCCAACACCGTAACCACAAGCATGAGAGAAAAATGTTAAGGCTCTGATACTATGCCAAGTTTACTAAATGATCTTCTCGTGTGTATTCTCTTTCAAATATAGAATATTACAAAGCTATAATAGGAAACTAATTAACTATACAATAGGGATTCAATCCCTAATTCTATGTGTATGATTAGGGTATACAAGGAAATAATTAATTTGCTATAATAAACCTCTAATATGCTTTTTTTTTTCTTTCAAAACAAGCCAAAACCAAACTTCGAGGTGTAGTAGTAATTCTAGAATGAGAACACAAAACATGGATATCCTAGACAATTTCACAGGCATTAAGCTGACAATGTCATAAGGCATTAAGCCCACAGGGAACACTGATTGTGGCAGCCCTTATGGCAACAGTCAAGAACTTAACGAAAGTCACGGATCGAATTGATCTAAATCGGACTGCCCACATTTAGTGCTACAGAAATTGAGGTGGAATCACCGGCTCACCACTAAGAAGGTTGTCCCCTGTGAGGAGGCGGTTGCAGTTTCCTAAAGACGAACTCACTATGAGTACAACGGATAAAATAAGGCAAGCTCATGCACCCAATAGGTAGATCCCCAAGCAAGAAGGAATTGTCCTCGACCACCTAAGCATGCCTAACCAACCTAGAGAAACGAAGGAGAAAACCTCTAAATCACAGGCCCATCTCTCGACATCATGCCATGTCTGCTGCTTATGGAGGCCAATGCAAACTAGAACAAATGAAAAGTGCATAGCTGACCTGGATACGAAGAAAAAGGCATGACGGAGGGATACATTGCAAACAATCACTCCCCCTTTTCAGAATATATCTTGTCTGAGTCACTGTCGAAAAAGCTCAAAATGCCCTAACTGATAGGATACAAAAGCATTAGTAATACCAATAGGTTATATGCAGGGACGGACTCAGCACAAAAGTTCAGCTCGGATGGACGTTGATATTAAAAATTATTTAATATATATGTAAATGCACTTAACCGTAAGAGCTTTCTACTCTCTCTGACGAATCAGAAGCACATCTTATCTTACCATTCTTTCTAAATCACATGAATAACGTGCAATATGGAACTTACAGATTTTCGAATCATAGCCATCTGGACGAGGTTATTCTTTACACTAGCAAGAGCTTCCTGCTGTCTCAAAAGAATTAAAAGCAACGGATCCAAGTGCAATTTCCTCCAGGCATCATTAGCTGTTTATGGTTTCTCCTCAAATAATGCTCGTGGTGCCGATGACTGCTGCTACTATAACATTAGCAATT